ACTAAACTGTGTGTCTAGAAATAGCTGAATTGGTGCATGTACCTGTGTATGTAAAACATGAAAGTAACTTAATTGCATGCTTTCCTTTCAAATTTTGTTCCCAATCAATGCTGCCAATGTTTCATAAACATATCTTTAGACATAAAATAAAAAGGATTTGGAGACCTATTTAAAAGGCAGTATTTTAAATTTTATGTGCCAATTTCCTCTACGCTAACCCCTAAAAAAGTTAGATCAAAGTTATTCCAAGGATCTTGGTAGCATATCCCATAGTGTATTGCTCTGTCAAAAAGGGGCAATTGTCTCAGGTTTGAATCCACCTGCAAACATTCTGTAGATGGATGGAGAATCTCATCCTGTTTTACAGGCTTAGAAACTCAACAGAGAGTCACTAAAGGTCAGGATCAACTGAATAGCAGTTAAGAAGCCATTCTATAGGTATAATTTCATTTTCAAATTGCTCTTTTTCTCAACTCTTTAGAAAGGGCATCCTTACAATAATTTAGCAACAGGAAGTAAAGCTTTTAAGTTCCCAAAATCCAAATAGTGAAAAAATTTGTCAGAAATCTCCAATATGTATTCATCTCTTAAAATGCTTGACAATATAAGCAACATTCAATGCTACTAAAGTAGTTGTTGTTCTACTAATTAAAGCTTAGTTGGTGGCTGACATTATAGAGCAAATGGGTCAAGATCTATTTCCATTATCATTCTCTACCTCTTGAAAAACACTGAGGTCAACTGACCTACCAATACTTACAAATTAATGGAAGAAGAAAGTTATTTCTGTAAACATTTTGTTGTTATGTGCCCCCGAGTTGCCTGCGACTCAGAGACACTATGTACAATAGCTATCAGGGAGCCTGCCCTATTCTGAGCCAGTCTCACACACCTACCCTCATTACCCTAGTTACTGTATCAACCCATCTCTTCTTGGGTCCTTCCTCTCCTGTGCTGTTCCTCCACCCTTGTTAGCATGTCCTTCTCCAAGGACCAGTCCCTCTTGGCCATGTGCCCAAAGTATGAACTTCAAAATTCTAGCCTCAAAGTAGAAATTTGGATTCACCCTAAGATAATTTGTTTTCTTGGTGGTTCATGGTATGTTCAACACTCTCCTCCAACACCATAACTCAAAGGCATAGGTGATTCTTCTGTCATTCTTAGCCACTGTCCAGCTCTCTCTGATGCATGGTAGGTAACTGTGAAGACAATGGCCTGGATCAGGCACACCTTAGTCTCTAAACTGACAGTACCCTGTGGAGAGGTCCCTGACAGATTATCCCAATGTGATTCGGCATAAATTCTTTACTATTTGTGTTAACTTCAAGACACTCCTTCCAAGCCTCACTTTATTTTATCCCAATGGGATAAAAACAAGTCATTAAAAAAAAAAAAACCAAAACAAACCACCAAACAAAACCAAACACACACACACCCCCACAACAAAAACAATGCAATCTAGTCAGAATGGACTCAACACTGACTCCCTGGGTGTTTCCAATTTGCAAATTATACACGAGTAGAGTGCTCATCATCTTTCCACTTCAGAGCAACTGGTACAATCAAACCTCCAGGGAGGTTTGCCCTTTGGGTTACAAGTACCTATAGGCTACAAGAACTTCAGAATGGGATAATTAAGATAATTAAGAGAAAAAAATTCTCTTGTCTCTTACGTGTGACAAATATGGTTAATGTACCTGACATTACGAAATCACACACCTGAAAAAATGCTGAGGCGGCAAATGTTGTGGTATGCATTTTAGGTTTTTTTTCTGCTTAACCAAAATATACTGTAAGTAATAAATTATTCTCATTAAGAGTAGTACCTGTAATTCTGGTGTATTTTCTGTACAGTGATAATATGTAATTAAAAAGAATTCTTTATTAAAAAAAAAAAAGTGATCCACCAGAAATAAAAAAATTTAATTTTTCTGTAAGTTCTAAAAAAGATATTAGAAGAATCACAGAAAAAAAAACATTCCCAAATCTTAATAATTCTTCAAGCCTAATTCTGTACAGTGATAATATGTAATTAAAAAGAATTCTTTATTAAAAAAAAAACCAACGTGATCCACCAGAAATAAAAAATTTTAATTTTTCTGTAAGTTCTAAAAAAGATATTAGAACCACAGAAAAAAAACCCATTGCCAAATCTTCTTAATAATTCATAATTCTTCAAGCCTAAAAAAACATTACTCGGCTTAGCCAGCTATAGTCTTTAAAAAAGTTTTTCATTACAAAAACCACTGCTGTATTTCAAAACGTGTTTTTATGCATAACCATAGAAACTTGAGCAAATCACCACTGTCTTATCCCATCAAGTCAGAACTGACTCAAAGCTGATCCTCCCGTAGTTTTAGAGGCTGTTAACTGCATTAGAGGACAGTGCCCATCTTTCACCTGCAGAAGAGCTGGTAAATTCAAATCACGTTGTTGTTGTTATGTGCCGTCAAGTCACCTGTGACTCATAGCGACCCTATGTACAACAGCCCTAAACTCCGCTCTGTCCTGTGCCAATTGCACTGTCTCTGACACTCCCGTCCCAATTATCCCAG